CCTTTTCTACCGTTTCTCTGTCGAGGACAGGTGTTTTTATGGCGGCGACATTGTTTGGGGATCTTGAGGAATCCTTTCTCCCTTCATCGTTTTCTTTTTTCGCATTTTTTCGGATGGTATACAACCATGTGTTCTTGAAAAGGAGAAAAATTTTTCACGAAATTGTTGAGTTAGAATTTCATGATAAATGAAATTCTTAATCTTTTTAAATTGAAATGTATTTACAAATTCATTCATTCAAAACATTTCATTCAAAACTTGTTGTCATTTATCGTGTACGCAAACAAACCTTATATTTCTGCCACTTTCCTCTTTCACCGATCTTGAAAAGCTTGCGTAAATTATGTAAACACGTTTTCGCATTCCAAGATATGTAAAAGGACGAAAAGGAATACATTTATTTTCTTTATGAATACGTGACTAATGCAGGTCGTTTCTCGTGCGCAAAAAGACGGCAAGGATGGTAATATAATACGGACGCTCTCTGGCGTATACTACACCTTTCCAAGAAAAGCAAATTTCTTTTGGGATCCAGCCCGGGAATGAATGGGTGAAGTGTAAATACATCAGCCACTCTGCATGCATAAATAGGATTTTCTTATCTCAGATTTTTCATTCACTTTTACAACAACAAACAAATTAGAACAATAATTCTATTCAAAAATTTCAAGTTGAAAAAGAAATACTTTAATCCAATCTGTGGATACAAATTTAGTAAAGCTCCTGAATGGATAACCAATAAGACCGTTGTTCGTTCTTTTTCTTGATTTAGAAACGAAGGCGACGTTTACAGATTGTCTCAACACCCAACTGAAACGCCCCCTAACGATGTAACTGATAAATTGCACAAAGGGATCGCTGTCTTTTCCGCTTCAGCGAATATCATCGTTCGAATTACGCCCGGATACATGAAAAAGCTCACCCTGGCGTGGTGCAAGCGCCCAGTCTGCATAATGGGGCTGCATTCAACCCACCCTTAGTTTTCACTCCCTGTTTTTCGTCCTTCTGCTTCTTCTCCTCATCCTACTCGCCTACCTTTTTTCCTTTCTTTTTTTGCTCATCAACAAAAGGGGGTTGAATACAATGTGCCTCCATTTCCTTATACACGTTAATAGACGGATCGATCTCTCTTGTATAACAACACAGGAATACAATAGTGATTTCTCCTTAAGAATGTATCGATGTTTCATAACTAAAGAATTCAAATTATTTTATATTTTGAAATAATGATAATAATGATCATTTGAAAACTTTGGAATTTTGGGTCAAATACTTGCAATTTTCGATTATGGATGAACGAGATGAATTCGACAACTTCCTCTAGTAGAACCGCTTCCAGTTTTGAACTACACTGCTCACTCAAAGTCCAGTACTGACCACAAAATCGATAACGCGGTCTTTCTATGGCATATAAAGGGGATGCGGAACTCGCATCAGATTAGGATTATCTCGTGTAATATAAAACTGCATTTTATATAGTTTTTAATTTTTTTAATTATCGGATGGTGGATACATCCAACAATAAGTTTACCCGATAAACTTTGTAGTATATTAAGGGATCATTTCTTGCACGCCATCATCAATCATCCCTTGACTATAGAGAACTGCCCTAGATTAAACTTTTTTTGTAACCAACAACTTCATTTTGGACTAATGTCGATTAATATACAGCGTCGTTTCTGATGTCAGGAGGTACTTAGCAATAAACCAATTTGAATGGATAGGATTTTACCATAATGAGTTACGGCCAGTATAGCGTGTACTCGGCCATTACAGACGACGTAAACCAACAATGGATGCCGTAAAATCACGTGCTACAGTTCGGATTGCACAAACAGCTTTGCCGACGGGGACTAGAATCAACACTAATTTACATACTTAGAGGGGTGCTCATTAAAATAGCAATACGTTGTTGCTACATCTGACGTTGTATATCTGATTTATAGCGACATCGGTCGGTCAATGCATTACATATCTCCATATGTAATGACCTTTGATGATCTTCATTAACTTGGAATATAATCACCATATATTATTTTGACTTTTCATTTTAATCTTGCCGTTATTAATGTAAATATGGAGATTTATATAGGAAGTAATAAATATTATTAGGAACTATTTAATTTGGTACTGCATGACAATTTATTGTAAATCGGAAAATTTATTGTTGGTGCTAATTACTATGTGTAAAATTGCAAATTACCTTTATGAAATATAGATTTTCTCTTTATAAAATGTCATAAATTGAATTTAAATTTATTAAAACAATTTTGGGAATACTCTTCAATATAGAAATATCAAGGGCGATGTTGTTGGATTAAGATATGTTATTGGCTAATTGGATGCTATAGACGAGAGACATCATGAAAGAGAGATCATGAATGTAGAAGGAGTATCAGCAAGGATATTGATGGTAGGAAAGATATTGTGAGAGGGTAAGGCAATCTTGAGATGTATCATCGATTATGTTGAGATATTGCAGAAATAATTTTGATACTATAAACGATGTACAAAATTCTCGTTAATATTTGGGGTTATCAGGGTTGATGTTGAAAAATATCAGTATATCGACGATGATACGGAAGATGTGCGAGGTTCGGCTAGTTTGGGAAATGTTGGGAGATATGTCAGAAACGGTGTAGATTGATGATGGCAAATGTGGGGAGGTGTCAGAGACGGTAGTGACAGATTTCAGATGATGGAGTAAATTGTGGAGGTGATATTTGGGGTGATAATTAGAAATATCAAAAATATTGCTGAGAGATATTAAGAGTTATTGTGAGAGATGCCAAGCCTGATATAGAGGGATATCAAAGAAGGCCAAGAACGGTATTGGAAGATATCAGGGTTGATATTGAGAGTTACCACAGATAATGTTTGATAACATAAAAAATTCTGCTGATAGATGTAGAAGAACATGTTGAAGTGGTATGTTATATTCGATTTTGGTACCACTATTGGTTTTGAGGTTTCAGTGACGGCTTTTTAAGCATATGTTGAGAGATATCAGAGACAATATTCTGTAATATGAGGATGGTGTTAATAGACAGTAAATAAAATGTAGACAGTTATCAGAATAGTATGGAGAGAAATATCAGAGACAGTGTAGAAAACCAAACAAGGTATTGAGAAAGTCCAGCGACGAGGATATTGACATCAGACATGATGAAATCAAGGATCATGTTGACAGATGATGGGAAAGATATTGAAGGAGATCAGGAGAAAGTGGAGGAACAATTGGACGCCGCAGATGATTTTGGGGATACTAGGTAGACTGTTTGGAGATACTTAGGAAGATGATGGAAGATATCAGGAATGATATTGGAAAAAAAGGGACAATATTGAGATGTTGTTTGCAATGCTAATTCTAGATATCAAGAACGATATTGATTGGTGATGGAGAAAATGTTGAAGTGGGCCAGAGATGTTAAGGATTGTGCTGTGAGAAGTCAGTCACGATTTGAGGAATGTCATAGATAATCTTAGAGAAGACCAAAAATGATATTGGAACGATGTTTATCAATAACTATGTTTATAGATATAATGACAATGTTGGCAATGTTAATTAAAATGTTAAACGGGATCAAGATAATGATATCAAATTACTGACGATGCCTAGAGACGATGTTCGAAGATAACGTTTAAAGATCCGTAATTTATGTTGTGAGATATCAGAGACAATATTGAAGGAAACTATGATAATGTTGAGGAAACACAGTGACGATGTTTTAAGATATAAAGATCAATGTTTAGAGAAAACGATTTTTATATACGATCGTAAAGAAGTTAGAAAAATTATAATTGTTATGAAATATTATTATAGATGTAAATGTTATAATTCCTATTTTGGGTTTAATTCATTTTGTATTAGATATTTACGTTTGAGATATTACTATCGGGATTTGATTAATAGTTACCAAACAAACTCGTCGAAATGCTAATTGGAGACCAAAACGGGTTTCAGCGTGTATTGAATTTCGTTAAGGTCAACTCGTTGTTTACTTGTTCATGTAATCAATCATTGTATTAGTTTTGGGACAGCGAAATTAACCTAATCGCAACTGATACTCCAAAATTGTTAATCGTATTGGTCGAATAAACATTGAAAAGTTAATTGCAGATAATTTTAAGAGTTCAAATTTTACAACCAAAATCGGTTTAAGGTAATTTTATTATTTGTTAATTTAATTTCTACGAGGGTGGATTCATTGGGCCGTTTTACTGATGAGTTTCAACTCATGACGATTGAAACTGGAGTTTGGATATTTCATTTGCATGCATTGAATTGAGAGGAATTTGTTAAATTTCAAGCTGGTCGCGTTGACCAGCAGGTTTTATTTTTTTTTCCTGCGGCTATTCCCATCGTCTCTTTTCGAACCCATTGGTGCATGAATTGCTACGTTATTCCAAAACTGTTAGCGGTTAAAGCTGAAAGAGTTTTGATATTACGACTCTGGTGTTGTTGCTTTTTTTGACAGCTCAAACACAAAAATATACATTTTAATGTGACTTTTAAAGATTACAACATATTAAAAAATTAATTATAACATTTTTTTACTAAAAGTATCCTCATCTACGTAATAGCGTTTTTGGCTAACTGCCCCCGGTAATTAGAATTGTTTGAATCAAAGCCAAAACTGTGTTTTGTACATCGTAATCGTAGATTTTATTTCTACGGGAGTAGTTTTAAAGGGTGATTTTTATCAAATTCGTTGGCATCGTATAGAATCCCAGTGGCGCAGCAAGCTCGCGATAAGGGAATATAGGCCGAGTAAACACGGGTGTGTTATCCTTATAAAAGATAAGGACATAATCTGGCAGGCAATATGAATAGTATATCACTTCACTTGAGTTGCTCTTATACTTTTCATGGAAAGTTATTTCACCTTACTGTTCATTTTGTAAAATCTCCCCGCGTATTGTTATGAATAACAAGTAAGTGAAGTAAAAATGAAGTCATAAATAACATCTTCAAAATAAATAAAATAAAAATTACTTACTTGAGCAGAAACGTGACCTTGTTTCAGTCTAGGAAGATCAGTATGACTCCAAGCACTCGTAGACCATGGCGAAATATTTCTCAAATCCTCACCGAATTTGAAGTCTTTGAGTCTGTTGTGGAGGAATTTTCTGATATTCCACGGCAGATCATTATGGCCGTCGATAAGAGGCACTTCTTGTAATAATCTTGCTGCGAATTCCAACCTTTCATCTAAAGATGCAGTAGAACTGATTTTGAGAGCGATTGGTACTCCAACGCCAGCAGCAGCCGCAAGAAGTAAAACTGTCGCAATAATCCACCAATGTTTTGCCGAAAGGTCTATTCCTGAAAGAACGAGAAAAGAAGAACACTACACGTTAATAAGATGGTCCGGATGGAGTTCTCGAAATCGTCGAATTGCTTGCCGAGGTAAAACGGTCGAGCTTGGGTTAATGTCGTTTCTAGAGGGGAGTTTAACGACCAGAAAAATACGTACGGAAATTGCTAAGTGTTCTTACGTTATCATAAGGGGGAGATAAAAATTGTAAAAATAAAGATTAAAAATATGTTTTTTCTAGGTTTTGTATTGCAAATTCTCAAAATTATGGTGAGACGCGTGCAATGCACATGTCGACACATGTTCTGTTTCCTCATGGAATAATTAATCAAGTTCAAATTTTCGAGCTGTGCTGCGGCGCTTAAGCAAAAGCTCTTCGGAGTTTCCGCGCGACTATGCGACGACCTTATAATCCAAACACACATAATCCGAACCGGTGGGTGCATTTGGAACTTGGTTGAAGCCCCCGTCTCCGTCGGCTGCGTCGTGTTATTTCCGCTAACAATTAGTTGGGCGCCGAACTGGGTTAAACCGGGAGCAGTAAGGGCGTCGTCCGTCAGACAAGAACTCGAAACACAAGGTAATAACTCCGTTTCCGCTTCCTACGGGCGTTCCAGGTGTACCGAATATAATTCACGTCGAACTTTGCTTTACAAACGTTTATTATAATCAGCTTTAGTAAAATACTCCTTTAACATTTCACTTTTTGATATTGTTAAATGAAATATTTTATGAGCTTTTTACAGTTTTATTGAGGGTCCTGTATTGTACATTTTCCCACATAAATTTTATTATATGTCAAAATCTGCACTTAACCCTCAATAATATCGTTTCGTTTTGGTCGGATAGAAAGAGAAAGAAATGTACTGAGCAGAGGCCGAGAAGTATTTACTCTTCGGTAAATGTTTGTCCCAAACAGCAGTAACGGCAAACCTTCGGGTCCATGAAAGGATTTGAAAGGCTTGTAAGTAATTGCCATTTCCACGGGGTGGCGAGTGGGCACCCGTTTGCCGTTTCGCACACGCCAACCGGAAATTTGAACGTTGAACTCGTTCCACCCCGGGGGTGAGAGAGTCGTTTATCAAAATCGCAACGAGAAAAATTCCACACGCCACCAGTTAAAATGCGCGCGTGGTAAAGGAATATTGCGTGCATTTATTAAACGTGTCACAACGAGTCGGGGTTATGTTGGTCGCGTTTTATAGAGATTATTGACGAATGAACAGACACCACTCAAACGCACCCCTTTAAACAGTATCCGCAATTATCACCACAGGATTGGACGTTTTTAATAAAACTGCCAATGCAATCAATTTTTTATTATGTCCATTCTCCATTTTTTTTTCTAATTGTAATCCAATTAAGCCGTTTTATAAAAGAGACAAATCCATTAAGACAAGAGATTAATTATAACCATCTTAATAATTAACGAATTTGTTCGGGCTGCTTGCTCTCGCTACGCGCTAGCTAAAGCTCTCTCCAAAGATACAAGATTAGTTATTCACTACACGTCCTGCAAATGCCGCAAGGGTCGTTTCGCCAATTAAGACCGTCGGACTTTACCTTTATTATTCAGGACACTTAGACGGGACACCAACGTTTCTACGGTCGGTTTAAAATAGACTTAAATTTTCTCTTCAAAGAAACTATTAACAAAAAGACTTTACAAGTATTCGTTCGTGTCAAATTAAGTTATCTTTATTCAACGGACAACGAAATAAGAAAAAGAAAATTTTATTTTAATATGTATGAATCTGTGTTTGGAATTGCAAAAAGAAAGAATAATTTGTATAACAGTGCCGGAGGGGCTTTAATCGCCTCGGCAACAATTTCTCGGTTTCGATAAATTGCAATACTTAGTCTTATCATTTTTTTTCAGGACACAATAGAATACTATTACATACATTCTAGTTGCATCTACAAGTATGACCAACGCAGGTATAGTATGTCTTTGTTTAATACTAAAACAAATTGAGACTTCTATTAGATGTTGGAGAAAACATTCTTTTTAATAGATCAATATATGATTCAATTGTGAATCGGAAACTTCCAATGGCTCTTGATTTCATCCTTATTCGTGCTTTTTGAGTTATTGTCTAAGTTTTCCCAATATTCCAAAGGATCTGGTTGCCAGTTAGGGATTGATTTTGACCCTCATGTGGAAGGTACCTGATTAAACTACTACGTCATTTCATTTTCTTCCTTTTAAGTCTAGCTTTTGTGTTTTTGTTTTAAAGTGTCGGGTCATTTTGCGTTCAGCAAATCACTATTCATTTTTTTCAGTGTAAAACTCTCTCTATTTTACTATTTCACAGTTACGTTCTTGGGTGTAACACTACCTACATATCTAGAACCCAATATGACGTCTTATCTGCTACTATCTTTCCAGATTTTGTTTTCTTAGATCTTTTGCATCTATACATCCGCTAGCACAATTACTGGGTTCCCCATTAAATATATATCTGGATCACATATCAACATATACAACAGTTCCACAGACGATGTTTTAAGCTAGACCGTTCTCATCATGCCATCTTCTATCCTTCCATTAAGTTGTTACCCATATTTCTTAATAAGCACTTTTTGGATTCAAAATTGCTTTATTCGCCTAAATTGTCGGAAATCATACTGATCTTGATTGAAACCCTTGTTCGCTATCAACATTTATAATCTCTCATCCGGGACCAATTGTCTTTGTAGAGGTGGTAGTCAGCCATATATACTATATTTCCTGTAGGTAACAATTTTACTATGCTTTCCTCCATCAATTCTCTCTCATTTCCTCATACAGACCCCACAATCTTACACTTAGTTTTTCTGCCCCCGCTCTAAGTTTGGATTATTATGTGGGATGGCAGTAAGTAAAAATGTTGTGAATCTACTTGTTAATGTAGTGGTTAGTCGCATGGAGATTGATTTTTGATGTTTTGAGGTTGGTCAACATTTCCGGGCGTATGTATTAAGTTAGTTCTAGTTGAGGTTAACGTCACAGTGTTATATGACCTAAATCGATGGGTTGGTTTGGCGAAAGGTAACAGAACAGCTGCATGAGTCAGCTAAACGCATCATAATCTATTTGGAACTAGAGCAATTAGCGATGGCAACCTTCCTGCCATATTGCACGTACATGACATTTAATTTGAAGGATTATGGGCTGTGTGAAGGATGTGTTTCCTTGCATTGGAAAGAACTTCAAGACACAAGCAGGCGAAGAGTATGATAACTTCGTCGCAAAAGAAAATTTTATGTCTCAGCAAAGGGGACCTAAGGTTGCACTCAGATTTCCTGACTGACATAAAGGAACAAGACCTTGGAGCAATACTAAGGTTCATCAAGGACCTAGATTTGCCTTAAACCTTTAGAGACCTTAAGTTACTACAGATCTTATAGGTTGCGGTGACGAGAGGGGTCGCACCTCTATAGCGGGAAATTAATTAATGATGGAATTATCTGCTTCATATCTAGTGGTAATATGGACTTTAATTATCAAGACTAGTTGGACACTTTACCTGGAAAGCTCTGGCAGATCTATAGAGTGAGATTTAAAGAAACGGTAACAAACATTTCTAACATTTTGATGACTAGCGTTATTTCAAGGCAATTTCTAGGTAATTTTAGGCACCATTTAACACGTTATAAAACCTTCCTTTTACAAATCTTTGAAAAATCCAAAAGCCTGTGTGAAGCTCAGAGGCATATCCCTGATTCCAACTAACATTCCGCCTATTTTGTTTGAAATTACTGATACATAATCAATTAGATAAGATATCCATATTAAAGTACTTACATTGTTTTGGGATTCAAGTATTAAATATGCAACTGTAAATATTTTATCAGTTAGTAATGCAACGAGAATTTGATTTCCAGTAATTATTTATTAACCGTCAGGTTAACTGCTACATAAACCAGCGTGAAATCGTAAATCGTCCATTACAGATGCTCCATTAGCTAAGAGCAACCATCACTAATCAGCCACTAACTGTACTGGAAAGGTAATATTAGTGGTAAACTCGATAAATCTTGTTTAATTGTTCATACAAATAAACTCTGTTTAAGAACTAATTTTATTCTAATTAACAATAAATAACAATTATAAAGTTAGGGAACCCAACTCTAATTGAAAAAATGGGGCTGTTTCTTTTCTTTTTTTTTTTCGTTTTAACGGAGGCGGTTGACGATAATAAAAAGTTAGTGGCGGAAACGTTGAGTGTAACGAGATTAGATCTGGCTCGCGATTGTTTTACGGGTGTTAAGGATGGAGACATAAAAGCTCGGTGAGCTTTAAAGTCTCCCCTTCAGGTTGGGCGGGTGTGACATTGTCACGCTATAAACTCGACTCACAATTTTAACCCGGTTCACTTATCTTTAACGGTTATTGCAACCTAGTGCTTAACGACCTCATTAACTTGTTAGTGAGACTGCGCGATATAGGGAAATTTGAACTCTTATCAGTGTGCAGTTTTAAGTTTTTACATTTCATTCACATGCCAAGTTTCCCCTTTTAAATGAAACGTTTTCGGTGAGATCGTCGAAATCAGTGCGTGTAACTATGAAGGCGTCAAACGGTATAAGATCAATGTTTGCTCAGTTTAGAAGGCCGTTATCACGTTATACGCAAGTGAACGCACGAGTACTGCAGTGAATTGAATTTCCTTGAATATAACCTCTGTCTGGCGTTTACGATCGACTTGAGTTTCCTTTTCGCATCACACTGCCGTTGAAATTCACAAGGGGGGTGCCGAATTTTCGGCAAAGGAACTCCGTTTAATATTGGCGTCTGCGGTGGCATATGTTTGGAATGTTGAAATGATATTTGGGGTACTTCGACCCTCTTCATATTTTTCTATGGAACAACCACTAACATTGTACTCAAATTTCAGTTTAATACTTGTTTTTGTCGTAATTTCTCGAAGTACGCATAATTTGCATGCTGGTGTGGTAATCAGATGCACTTGATTAGGCACAAATTGTTATTGGACTAGATCCGGCTCTAGGGTAAACGTTAATT